TCCCACATAACTAGACTTTAAATAACTTGCACTTTGTATATGTTTCTTTATTTGCTGCATGAGGACACCTTTTAACATGATTGAGCTCAAAAAAAGGTAGTATTTTAAGAAAAAATCGTGCCCGGTACTAATTTTCCCTAATACTAGTTTTTACCTACTTGGCTGATGTCAACCTCTCCTCCAGAGGAAAAGGTAATTAGCCCACGAGGATGTTAATTTGCAGGATATGTAAGCAGAGGGTTTTAGTTAACTGAGCTGAGCTGCTGTATGCAGGGAATGCCAGCAAAATCTTTGAGACTCATTTTTAAGTGATTTTAATTCTAGTACAAACATCAACTTGATTTTAATGCCAACAAGACAATTTTTTTTACCATTTTAGATTTACAATTCACGGAGTTCATAATTAGATAATCTCTGTACAGCACTGTTGTACATAATAGCTAGTGTTCTACAAAGAGCCTCCTAGCATGTGGAAATTTTTTTTTTTTCATTACGTAAGGCCATTTGTAATTATCTGATGCAGCACTGGGCAATTTCTCAGCTATACCTTTTGTGGGAAGAGAGCTCCCTTCTGGGATAACTTCTGTTAAACTTACTTGAAGCATAATTCAAAATGAATGCTAGCTGCTGCTCAGGTAATTTCTGTCCTTTAGTGCCTATAGAAGTTATTCAGGCAAAGAGGTTGTTGCTGGGATGCTCAAATTTGATGAGTCTGTTCTTTATTTCACTTGTCACTTGAAACTTGCACTTTCTTATTTACCTACCCATATAATAGGGTTTGTATTTACCTTCAAAATGAGCAAATATCTAGTGGGTGGGTACTTTTAACAAATTAAATGCAGGACTGCAAGTACCACCATTATCTTCTGTTGCTCTGCCACTTCTGTTACTGACCAAATGGAAAACTAAAAATTAACAAGCAATCAGTTGAATTCCAGAGCTTTGAAAGTAGAGAAATTGAAGAGGATTATTACACTGTGCGTGCCTGAGTCTTGAAAGAAATGTAATCTGGGCTTGTTCTGCTCCCAGTTTATATGCTGGGATCCCTAGTAGTTTACATTCTTATTTTGGAGGCTATTATCTTTAATCAGGAAGACTGAAGAAGAGAGAGGAGCACACACTTAAAGTAGTGGTGTTTGGGTTTTGAGGGTAAAATAACAAGGCAGGCAAACTTTGAACATATTGACGTACTATTTCAGCAGCAAGGTCTGTTTGGGCTGCTGCAGAATGTTTTAATTGATCCTCTTTATTTTTATAAAAAGATATCTCTAGAAAATAAAGGTTAACTGCCTTTTAAAAATGTTTGAAAGTTTCCCTATAGTGGTTTATTAGCCCAATTATTGACTGGTTGGAAGCTGTAGCAAGAGTGAGATATATATTTTTATGAGTTTATGCTATAGAATGGGATTGTTACACAGCATTCATTCACTTTCTATTAATACGGGAGGCTTCTAGGGCTGTGACACAATTGAGCTGTAACCTTACTGGGGCTTTTAAAGAAACAAGGATGGGGAGGAGGAAACTTGGGTCCAGACAAAGTTCAAACCTCTAATGCGCTTCAAAATGTGGAATGTGTTGTGGTTCTCCTTTTGGCTGTGGAGGTTTCTTTGGTTTGGGGGATTTTATTTTTTTTTTGTCTGCTTCCCTGCTCTGTCTTGTTTCTGATTGCATTGCAATAACATTTCTTAGCTTTCTTTTTAACAGATTCAGCAGAGACAGCAGAGCGAAGAAAACACTCCATTCTCTTTTGTTTACAATAATTGGAAGAGTTACAAAATGATGTTGCAGTTACCTAGCTTGTCCCAGCCCTTAGTTTGTGGAAACCCAAATAGACAGCATTATTCTGTTTTGGTTTAGTATTTGTATGATGATAGAGATGTAAGTTAATAGAAACGAAGCATCTCTTCCTCCCCTCCAGCATACAGGTGTCGATCATGATTGTGCACTTTTTCATTTTTCCTTTCCCACCTCTGCTCCTGTTTATAGCACTCGTGGAACAGCCTCGTTCTTTGTGGCTGCTGCTTGTACACTGGGAGTGGTGATTGTGCAAAAGCTAGGTATTTCCCACTCTGAGCTGCTTCTGTCCCAGATAATTGGAGGAAAAGTGTACAGAGGATGCATTTTTTTGGGTCTTGCATACTTCCCTAGCTGAAGGGTATGTATGTACATTTGGCTCTTCATAAAGTGAACCCGCTCCAGTGAGGATTTTTTTTGTATCATCATGGAAAGACATAGTACATGTTGCTCACAGAATGATGACAAGAGCAGCTTGAGAAGAATTGCAAAGCTTTTGCCATGTACCATCTCTTACTACTAAGTTTTGGAGATTCAGGCTGCTCTTTGCTAAATTTGCTGATTATGGGAGGTAGAAAGATTACTTTAAAAAAAAATATTTTAGAATAAATAAATAAATCTTATTTTCATCATGCTACGACTGGAGCAGCTAAGGCTACTTAATGTAAGCTACAGCATTTGCCTGGCCGGCCTTGTGGCTGCATACATTTGAGTTCTGATGCTTGCTGGATATGATTTTCTGCACGCAGTTCTCATTTATTGTATTTGATTTGAGGTGGGCCTTTGGTTTATTATGTTCCAGGTGCTCTTCTAGAATATGGATGGTAACTGTGGATTAAAATTTTATATGATGCTATCAAGTTAACAAATAGCTCAATGAGAATTTGTACACTTGTGCCATTAGCCTCCATCATGCTCTTGGCATTTTGTTTCTGTTCAATATTGTGTGAATCTAAAATTTTACTGTTTCTTTTGTGTGTGTTTTTAATTTATGGAAATAAATTTTTCTGAGACCCTTTCAGTTCTTTTAAGGCCTTCTTTAGGCTTGTATCAGTAAATATGTATGATCTGTCTGTCTTGCATACATGGGGAGGAGGTCAAATCTCCAAAGAGATTAACACTGTTAAGTAACTGGGTGGGCTGTTGGTGAGGCATGGAGCAGCAATCCTGGTCTTGACTCATCCGTAGCCATACTTTAACAGAAACAGACCTGGGGGCTTTTAAGCGTGATCCTAGCTACTATTCATAGCGTTGAGATAGGATCCATCTCTTAAGGTAGTAGAGTAGCAGGAGCCAGACAGCGCAGACAGTTCCTGATAGATTCAGAACGCAGAGATTCAAAGCTGAAGCAGGCTGGTTTATGTGTGAGGCATCGGACTGATGCTTTTAAGCCAAAGCTGAAGCACAGGAACATCAAAAAGGCCTATCAAGCATCTGTAATGTCTACGCCAGAAAACAACTCCCCTGCCCCTCCAACCCATAAAATCTTGTGTATAACTCAGATTTTCAAGTTATTGCTGTTCGGCTGCATGCTGCTTTTGGCAAAACTAAGCTGGCAGATGCATTTTTTCAATCTATTCTCATAACTTCCTTTTCTGATTGAAGTGCAGTGTTACGTGGGTCCTGCAGATGGCATGTAAGATGCAGTAAAGAAAGGAAGGGAGCACCTCTGAGAGCAAAACAAGCATTCTGCTGTTCCCCTGCTTCTTCAGGGCTACAGCTTGCTGGCTGCAACACAGTATATGAGGATTTTGCTCTGTTGCCATAATGGGATTTGATTAATTCACTGTTTACCTCTCCCCTTTTTATCTGAAAGGTAGATGAGTTTGGACTTATATTCTCTCTCTGTTGTTTGATTAGTCAATGTCAAACAACGGGACAAATGAGAGAACAGTCTCAGCTAAGATGCGCTGAATCTAAACCTCTTGCTAGTGGTTGGAGTGCAAATTTTTTCTTTCTCAAGAAGTGAAAAGGGGAAGAAGAAGGGTGATTAAGTCAAACAACAGGAAAGACAAGCTAAGCATGGAACCAACTTTATAAACCAGGTATTCTTAGCAGTGTTTTACAACTGAGTACTTTACTGCTGCATCATTTTGGTGGAGGGCTTTTTTTAATGTTTTTTCCTTTGTATGGCAAATACTTTATGTCTATTCCAGCTGGCCTGTCTTCTCTATTTGCATCTCATTTATTGCTAGCTGAGGTTAATACAACTGCAATATATGTAGCAAGAATTGGAAATTTGGGTGTGAAGGATATTTATTTTTTTTGTCTTTGTTTAGTTAAAAATCTGTGTGGGAGCAGAAAGTGATACAACTGTTGCAAACTGAAGTGAGCCCTGCCCATGGAGAGCCACCCACTCCCAGTCTTTATCCACTAACAAGAAAAACAAATACATGATACATTCTGCTCAAAAGGCTTCATATCGTGTTTGGGCAGTTTCTGCTTATAAAACCAATGCTGTTTAATTCATAAATCATATTTTGACACTTCACAGAATCTTAGATTTAAAGTATCAAAGTACTACAAAGTAATCATTGAAGTTTTTGACAAGGATGAATATACGTTGCTTTCCTTCACCTTAAGGCTGCAAGCATCCAGATGGCTATTAGATGCCTTAATACATTAACTTGTGACAGAAAAATGTTTTGATTTACTAATATAAATCCTTGGTTAAAAAAGCAAATACATTCTTTCCAGTTAAAAGCAGAAAAGACTACTGATTCTGATAGCAATTATACATTTATACAACCTATAGCATATATGTGTACTCAGCAAGGACTATCTAGCTGCAGTCAAAATCACAAATATAGCACAATGCTGCAACTACCAAAGTGTCAGTTGATTTTTTTTCCCATGTAAACAGTTTATAAGACAAGCAAGGCAAACTGCTACTGACTAACCTGTGCCACTCACGACAGTCTGTATTTTAGTCCATGGTATCGGCCCTGCTCTTTCCACAAAAATGCTGATTTCTCCATAGTAGTTGTACAGAATTGCTGATCCTAATTCTGTGCAGTGGGCTATGCAGACTAGCTTGTGCTGTTCCACATGATGCCATGCTCCAAACAAGAAGGTGGTGACATATGAGTAGTATTACATTATCATAAAACACAAAAAAAAAAAAAAAAGACAAGAGAGTATTCAGCATACATGTCTAGAGATGACCGTTTCCTTGCTGGTTGCTTTGGATAGGTCGGACTTGCATATTTCCTTGTTTTCAAAATTGATGGTGACGTATGTGCCTTGCAAAGCCTCTGTATTAGCTGTTAGTTCAATCAGGATGCACAGATATCCTGTTTGCAGAAGTCTAAGATGCCTACAAATCAGTAAGAAAGTATACGCTTAAAGATGCTATCAGCGTTAAAAATAACAATTTTTTCAGATACTATACACTAAACCAGCAGAATAGAAGTAAAACTCCCCTTTTGAATTTCAGTTCTTTAACAACTTAGACTCACAGAAGTCTTACTGTGTAATCGTCATTTACTTCAATATAATTTTCAGATTGCAAACCAGCTTGACCCTGGCTTGTAGACAGTTTCTGTTTTAGTGATAGCTAAATGCATACTTCATACAGCCTTCAGTGGAAAATAATGAAAAACCCATCCCTTAAGTCTGTAAAGGGTTTGATCTTGAGTTTTCTGGTGCTGTCTTTTTAAAAAGGAAATTATTGAAATTATTTTGAGGTTAATTCAATAATTAAATACAAAATTTCTTATCTTTTTGCCAAGTTTGGCATATCCAAATGAACATTATATTCTCTTTTCCGAGAACCAATGTTTGGAATTGAAGGGGAAAAATTCAGAATGGGAGTAAACCAGTCCTATTCCAATAACCTCTTATTTGCTCTAAAATGTATTGGTTTTTCTGTTCCTGCAGAGCTCCAATTTCAATGACTTTGGATAGGATTTATAAGAGGCTCTAAAGGAGCTCCAAACACAGTACTCCTTGGAAAATTGTTACTAACAGGATTATGTAGAACATAATTCTCCATTCAGCCTCAACAAAAATAGCTAGGCACAGAAGGCTTCCTGCTTCACATTTTTCTCTTAACCCAAAATTAGGAACTTGACTTTACCTGCAGGTGTACAATTAAACACTGATTCTGCCAGTTTAAAGAAAGACACTCCAAGAATTTCCTGATAGCTCATGTGACTTGCATGAACAAGGTACTGAGTAGTATCTTTGAAAAGCAGATCACTTTCACCATACTTCCATGACTGAAAGAGATGGAATTCAGAATCCAGTTTGCTTCCCAGAGGTTCCTAAACAGAAAAGAAATAGGTTCCACAGCTTGGATCATAAATAGCAAGGTTAAGCCGGTGACCCTCAGTTTTATAGCAAGATCTAGCAGAAAAAAGGTTCCACTTTCTCTTAGCACTGTTCTTATTTGTACAAAAAAAGATGCGGTTTTGCAGTGGCTTATTTCTCAGCAAAAGTATGACCACTGCAGAATGGCAACTGGTGCCAAAATGCCCCTTTAGAGAATCCAAATAATTATTTTCTCAGTCTCCTATGCACATTCTTAATTCTTTCATATTGGACCCGAAGGCACTTTATGTATTTAGTAGCTTTTGATCTTGAAAGGGTTTTCAGCAGTTATATATAACAAAGGATAACATGCTGACTTTCTCCCTATTATCTGCCTTACCTGGGATTTCATTAGAAAGTCATAGATTTTAGTGACGGTGACTGGTCGGGTCATAACTGTGCTGGGGGGAATGGCCCCCAGGTTACAGCCTGCCCATTCTGTGACTGCGGCACGCGTTCCATCTGGACACAAGAGTTCAAAGTCGACAGGGGTATAACCTTTTGCCCAACCAGAGCTGTCCAGATCTGAAAAGAAGATGAAGTGAAAGCAAATCCTTTTCAAAAATGAAAGCAGAAGACAGGGTGAATCTCATGCAAAATGTTAAAAATTGACAGGAAGAAGTTTAGTCAATATGTTCGAAACAAATGCAGCATGCTATGTGGTCATTTATTAGGAACAGTTTTCACTGAGGAGACAAGTAGTGAACTGAAGCTGCATCTATCAACTAAAAACTAAGAGTAACATCAAGGCACACAAACAGCTTATCATGCCTCATCTTCACCTGTAATCAGATCGCTTTCTGAAAACAAAACAATTAAGCCTGCATGTCCTGCGCTTCCCCAAACAAACTGCTTGTTGCTGCATGTATTCCTGTGGTTTCCAGGCCCTTATACCTCCACTTGATTTTAGAGAGATTCCTCTCTTAGAAAAGTCTCTTCTGTTACTGAAATTGCCTAAATTAGAATTTTGGTGTGCTTAATAAGGCTGAACAAAATAGGGGTTCCCTTTCTCTTCACCTCTATAAAAAGGCAGCATATTTTGGCTGTTGGAGGAGTAAGCATAATTTAAGAGATTGAGGGGATTTAAGCTACAGTAACTAAAACCATTTTCATCAACAAAATCCAATTGCTAGACTGTTGCAAAGATCAGTATTTCCTAGAGGAATTTAAACATTTCACAGTATAATAACAATGTTGTTTCAGAAACTGTGAAAGAGAAAATAATTTGCGCTGGTTTTACCTATTAAGCTATTTGGACTGTTTATTCCCTAAGTACCTGTGAAACAACATGAGGAAGTTTCCATGTCATGATGAAGCCACAGAAGATCTTCCAGCACAAACAGCCTACAGCATTGCCTTTATTGCCCTTATCTGCCACTTTTCTTCTTGAAACCCAGATTAACAACAACAGGTACATGCACTATGGCTGCCTATGGGAGAAAGTCTAGTGGGAAAAGTCACTTGCTTTTTAAAGCTTTGGAGCTTTCCAAGAATTAGTGCAGTCTCCAATGATGATTACTCCCCTAAAACACACCTTGATCTTCCTCTTTCCTCTCTAAAACTAACCAGATCTGAATTTTGAGCTTTACTGGAACACCTACGTGCAGGAAGGTTCTTGCAGTTTTGCAATCACAAACACAACTTCATGGACCAAGATTAAACCTGTAAAAGCTGATCCTCATGAGTGATGGTTGCTGTGTGGGAAGTAACTGACACTAATGAACATTCTCAAAGGAAAAGAGAATATCCGCATCTCACTCTGTATGTTCTGGAGTAGGTTAGAATGTTCCAGGAAAGCTACATCTCCGAAGCTTCTTCCACTCGGATTGCCAACTAGGCACCTAGTGCAGGAAAAAACCAAGAAGTTATCAGAGACAGCCCTACATGGTGACGGACGTTGGGACAGTCATCTGAAGCTAAAACGGGAGTAGCTGGAAGTATCCCCCTCATCTGTAATTACTTGGTTGTTATAGGGAACAAGTTAGTGATGTCAGTATAGATCTTGGTGGACAGCGTTCACATATTTGATAAGACAATCCCTTTCACCCCTTAAAGCAGCTCCCAAGTCAAAGTTGTGGCACAATGTCCATGCAGCCTCACCTGTGCGTAGCCAGGAAAAAGAATGTAATTCAACTAAATGCATTATATATACTCTATAAGAGTGTTTTCACCTTTAATACCTGCCTCTGCTTCAACTACGTTTTTTTTAATATCGCCAGTCTACTTAATTACCCCCGGTACCCTACACTGCTTCTTACCACATCACCTCTGCTCTCTGACTTTCTAATTATCTTTCATCCCTTCTCTTTAATGAGTCAGTACCACTGCTCTAAGCGTTACATGTTTGGAAGCATTGTCTTGCTCTGGAAATGGTTTCATGACTGTTTTGAATCACCAATCAGTTGAGCACCCCATAGCAACCGCAACCAAAACAAAATACATGCTAGCGACAGTTTATACAGCCAGTTGCTTAACAAAAAAAAAAAAAAAAACAAACAACAAAAACCCACAAAAAAACAACTCCAGAGAAAACCAGCAGCAAAATAAGAAGCCAATTCTGGCTATTGCTCTGCATTTCTGACTCTAACAAAAGGCTTACCTGAGGGCTCCCATATTGCCATAATAGCGTTCGTTGTGACTTGCAGCACATCTGCTAGATACTCGAGCCCCTTCCACCTCACTGTCTCCAATGCACACCTTGCACAGGTTTCCATCTGCTCCTGGCATGCAGCCCTTCCAAAAGTAATTCTGATAAACTGAGTAGAGAAAACTGAGGTGAGATTAGGGCAAGGTATTCCAAAGGCTTTTCCACAAGGAAAAAGACAGGAATGGAATTCCATCCTAATAGCTAGCAAGAAGAGGCCTAAATAGTGTGAAGAATCACACATAGTCAGACAGGAGGAAACGCTGCATCAACACTCTCTGCCACTGCAGGCATCACCTGCTGGTCAAATCCTCATGGCCACATCTCCATTTTACTCCCAAATTTGGGGCTTCAGATTTCCACGGTCTAGTCAACAGATAACCCAGAGCAGACCTTACCAGAGCCAATGTCACAGTTCTCAGTATCATTCTCCAGAGCTCCCACTGTGTATCTGGAAGGAAGCAACCAGCCTCCAGGACTATACAGGTGACTGTGGCAGGATCGCCTTCCCCTAAGGTTACGGATGTTAATCTGTTTGGCATTTTTCTTAGCTACGGCAACAGCATAAACTGGTGGCAGTGCTGTAAAACAATGACAACAATCAGTTAAACCAAGACAATTAAGTATTCCAGACAGGTACAGCCCCCCTCTTTCCTCCCTCATCCTGTCATGATATCTTCAGTTACAGCAGAGGATCTGCATTCTTTGCTTAGCCACAAAGCTCTTGTCCTAGCTGACTGGCATTATCTGTAAAGCTCCTACTGAACATGCACAGCAATTTCTTTCCCAAACTAACATGCAAATACATTGCCACATAAATCCTAGAGGTAGCCTTAGGAAAACCTAAATCTTTTGCCTTCTGAAAGTCATCCTGTTACCTTTGTGCTTAAGATGAATTCGTTTCCCCATTTCCTCTGTGCTCTTAGCAGCCGGGGCACAATCTCCTCCTGGAGAGGAGAGACAACCATTAAGGATCTTGTGACTGCTGTCGTTCCTATTACATGGCAGCACGCCACCAAAAACCTTGCAATCCTCTTGAGCCATGTCAGCATCTCTGTCCCTTTTACAGAAGAGATACAATAAACAGCCAGACCAAATGCTAAAGCCAGTTAGTGGAAGACCTGGGAAGATATTTGGACATTTATAT